CTACTGCGATATAGTTCAGTAGAAGAAATCAGTGTTTGTCGTTCACGTGAGTATGCTGGGCAGACACAAAATATGTGCTCAAACGTTTCTGGCACATCACAGTTTTCACAATTAGGACCGGTGTCACTGCGACCGATCATATGTGCGTAACGTCGTCTGTACGCCACACCAAGACGAATGTGGTGGATCATACTTGTGAGTTGCCGTTTTAATTTAGGGGGCATGCGGAACCTCGTTTCCGGGTCCCATTTGTGAAGTCGCTGGTGTCGCCGTTCCGGTTTCTTCGTCGTAGGCGGAGAATGCGTGAACCGGAATGTTTCCTAATTGAACAATCGCTTTCAGCGTGTCCAATAAGGTCTTCGTAGTGACCTCCACGGACAGTATGTTCTTTCGAGTATTTATGCATATTTCTACGACTTTCCCTCGAGCGATGAGCTCAAAGCTTTCCGACAGGCTCTGCCTATTTAGAGAGCTCAAGATGCCTGTCTTCGATGTCGGCACATACGAAATGGTGTACGACCGCATGCTACTCGTCTTTGTCTGTGCTTGCCGGCCAGTCGGCGATGTCCGGCTGATTTTCCTCTTCAGGCGTCGGCTTGGTACGACCACGTAGTCACTCTCCGAAGCCATATCTTCAACGGAGGAGTCATCAGAATTGTCAACGTAGACCACGCTTGCGCCGGGGTGAGAAGTTGCGTCAGACGCACCATCATGCGGTCGGCCCGGTCCCGGTTGCTGGATGAGATTTTGATCCCCTATTCCAAGGAGGAACGTCCCTCCGAGTGTGTCGATTATTGAAAAATTCTTGGCGAAAAATGAGAAAACTCACAGAGCTCGAAGCAGAAGCTGTTCTCTGTGATTTCTTCTTCCTCCCTCCAAAAAACCAAAAGGTAGACAAGTTTTGTTATCTGTGATGCTGAGCACCATGTAGGGCACTGCAACATAGTGCGCAAGGAGTACGTCGGTGAGAAACGTAATAGACACCGTCAGGCACACCTGGTGAACACAGAAAATCGATGTACGTCACAGTTTTGGAGGGAAGGTGGTCGCTGCATTGTAATCGCTTGTAGGTTGGTACGGGCGTCACTGATTTGTGGCAGTTCAAGGCGGAGCACACCAGCGGAGCAATCAATCAGAGCAGAATTGGCGGCAAGAAAATCTAGGCCTAGTATGAGGTCGTGGGGACGTGTTGCAAGCACAGTAAAAAGGACGACCACTTGATGACCGGCTACGGTAAGATGAGCTGTGCACATACCGACGACAGGGACCGTTGCGTCATCTGCAACTTGAATGATACTGGTCAAGGGGGCGTGAGGACCTTCTTCATGCGACGACGGAAATGCGAACTCATAATAGAGACGTGAGCACCCGTATCAATGAAAGCTTCAACAGGTGTGCCATCAACATATACTTCTAGGGGGTTCCTGTTCAAACGTAAGGGCAACAGAGGATTTTCGCGTAAGGTGGACAGGGCAGCTTCACCTCCAGAAGCTGCACAGCCTAGTTTTCCGGGGACATGCGGTGGGTAAACGATGGCGAGGGAGAGCGGCGACGCGTATTTGAACGAGAAGGGCGGCTTTGAGGCGGCGGAGACGACGGTACAGGGTGGCCGTAGTCCTCAGGGGCAATAAATGCTGTAGACTCAGTGCGGGTCGGATAACGGTGGTTTGGTGGACGGAAGGAGTTACTGTAAGCGGGGTACGAGTCAGAAAGCATAGATGGCCACTGGCTGCGGCAGCAACCAGCGATGTGTCCCGCACGACCCCAGCGGAAGCAGATTGGCTTATCATCAGCTGCTCGGCCATTCGGACGGGTTTCTCGTTCGAATAGAGTACGGACGACGACGTCTCATGTCCACAGAAGGTATAGAGGGATCAGTATTATCCAGGGTGGGTGCAGTGGACAGGATACCCAGGTTAGTGAATTCCTGGCGGACAACCGCCTGGGTCAAGGAGACAGCTGGCGTTGAGGCGTCGGGCAACGTCAGTTTGTTGACAGCCGGGTAAGCGGTCTCGAGTTCACGTCGGACGATGCGCGTCACGTCTTCGGTTGTTGACGGATGACAAGGAGTGGCTTGGCAAGACGACGTTGCAGAGGTGTTGGGTAGGCGCTGGAACTGGTGCAAAGTGCGTCGACTCTTCGACTGCTCGAGACGGCGGCACTCTTTGATCACGGCGTCGATGGTCGTTACGTTTGTAAATACAAGCAGGCTGAACACACCGTCGGCGGTTCCTTTTAAAACGTGCGAAATCTTGTCGGCCTCAGTCATGTTGGGATCGGCCCTTTGGCACAACGCTAAGACGTCTTGAATATAAGTCAAGTAAGGCTCAGTGGACGTCTGTGTACGTACGGCAAATTGCTTTCGGGCATCAAGCTGTTGACCAAACGGGTTGCCAAAGAGGTCACGGAGCTGTTGCATAAACATTTCCTAGCTTGTGATTTCGTGCTCGTGGGTCTCAAACCAGATGCGAGGGGTCTTGTAAAGATAGAAAATGACACTCGCAAGCATAATGGTTGGGTCCCAGCCATATTGCTTGCATACGCGCTCGTACATACTAAGCCACTTGTTCACATTCGCGTTGTCCTCTCCAGTAAAGGTACCGGGATCACGGTGTTGCGTTAGGGCGACGTACCGGGTTGCTGTCGTTGCCGAGGTAGGTGGCGGAGTCGTATCTTCACCAGGAGCCATGGTAGCAGACTTAAGGAGGCGTCCACTGCGTAGCTCTGTTGTCAAAAGAGCACTTAGCACCTCCACCAAAATGTTACGTGGAAAATAACAGTAGTCAGTCTGCAGCCACAACGCAGCTCACCAACAACGTCCACTTCTTTACTCTCAGTCTGAGGCACCTTTTTTTGGGTATGTCGCACTATGCCCTGTTTCAGTCAGCCGAAATCACGTAACAATATTACATACTGATTCATCTTGGCTTATGATTTTCAGTGTACGCATTTGAAGTCGTTCAAGAGTTTTAGATGACTGTTGTACGTCACACCCCACGATTCCAGACAGTACCCTATGTGACAATGACACAATGAAAAGTAGAGTGTGCGAAATATAGCTTGTGGAAAACATTGGCCAGCTTTTATTAGAGAATAGCAGCCATAAGCTACCTTTGCGCACACACTCTGTACTTGCTCATGCCAGTGTAAATGCTGACATGTGCTCGTGGCCGTTTTGCTAGCTTCACTTATACCAAATTCGCTATAACGGAACTTGAATGGATGACGAAGGTATGTGACTGGCGCAGGCGTCATAATCATCAGGTGCGTGTCATGTAACATGACTACATGCTACACTCATGATGCGCTCGCGGCCGTTTCGCTAGTTTCACATGAACCAAATTAGGTATTACGTGACGTGAACGGACGACATAGGTAAATGACACGTCCAAGCATTATAATGATGACACGCGTGTCATGCAAGAACATGACTACATGCCACAATCGTTATGCGCTCGTGGCCGTTTTGCTAGCCTCACATATGCCAAAATCGGTACTACGTCACGTGAATGGATGACGAAGGTATGTGACGGGTGCAAATATGATCATCATGAGATGCGTGTCATGTAAGAACATGACAACATGCCACACTCATGGTGCCAATATACTTCGACGTGACCCGGTGCGCGTGCGCACCAGCGTTCGTTTCGTCGCGTTACGCTGGCGATGCCACGCCAGGCGCCAATCTTCCTGCCAAATACTCGCAGGCACGTGCCACGCTGCAGTTCTTTGATACATGCGCGTTCGAGTTCACCCGGAGTCCCTACGTCACGAGGAGAGGCAGACGCAGCGCTGTCTGGGTCATGCAGTTTCCTAGTTAAATTTAGAAAACTATGTAGTGGGTAACGTCATCGGCGCGAAATGCACCATCTTGCATGTCGCGCTGGGGGCCGCAGAGCCGCCCTGATGGACGCTGGTCGCGCCGGTCAAGCTATGAATTGCTCGCTTTTTGATAGCGTAGCGGCGCTGCGCCCAGCGTACGCGCGCGTCGACGTTACGTCGGAGTATATGGGCCCTTCATATGGCACGCGCGGCCGTTTCGCTAGCTCCACAGATACCAAATTTCATGTTACGTGACGTCAATGAATGGCAAAGGTAAATGACACTTTAAGGGTCAAACCTCATAAGCGCGAAAATGCACGCGACAGCGACGAGCGACGCTATGAGCGACGAAACAGGGCGTTCGCGCGACGTGTCGCGTGCTCGTTTTCGCGCGATCGCTCGGTTCTCCAGATTTGGAAACCGTCGCTCATCGCCCGAAAGTGCTGGGCTCAAGCAGCCAATAGCGAAATACCGGAAAAGACAAAGACTACATAGGTGCTCGTGACCCTGCCCGAGTCACGTATGCGCAACAAGAAATAACGCAATGTTTATTACGCATGTGCATATAAAAAAGTGCTGCAAGGCAATGATAAACACTTTCCGTTTCATTACACAACAACATATCTTATTTTTAAATTGCATACCGCTCGCTACGCGGTTTTCTTGGTGCGAGTAGACGGCGTCATGCCAGCAACAGTGGAATTCGCTCGCCGAAGCCGTCGCGTGAATGAGGTTTGCCTGCGCTAGCGACTGATCGCGCGAAGCCGATCTACGTCGCGTCGCTCGTCGCTGTCGCGTGTATTTTCGCGCTTATGAGGTTTGGCCCTAAAACATGATAATCGTGACATAAAATTCATGTACGGTATAATTTACCTTCACCTCGTAACGTTGTGCTCATTTTAAAGTAACATATTTATCTTCCTCATTTGTGCTTCGCATTTAATCGATTCCCACTGTACGTGGGATCTGCCTTTTTTTTACTACCTCACATCAACACTTACAGCTTCAATGAACATCGCGTTAGCTGATTGCTCTGGATGCGCACTGTTTTCCTTATCTAAATGAGAGAGTTGGGTGAATTAGCCTTCAAGCAACGAAAACCCAGCTATTGCCAAGAATAATATGCGTTCTTTATCGCGCACGTCGTGACACTCTGGACAACCTCTTTGTTTGCGCAGGTGTCACAGTTCAAGCTCTGTCTTCCACACCGGTACTCTTCGGCTATTCGGTATGTGCCTTCATTACTGCCAAGTGTTCATTGTACGATCAACGAAAGCGCTGAAAAAACAAATAGTAGAGTGAGGGCGGCCTAAAATAAGCCTTGCGACATTTTCCTTTACGCTTACATTTTCAGTTATATTCGTAATCTTTTTTTTGTTACGCACAGCGTGTTCGATGAAATTCGTTGTTAACATTTATTTTTAGATGTGGCAATTTAAAATAGATTTCTGCACCATGTGATAGATGGCAGATCATAGAGATACTTGAGGCCTTTCTTGCAGACACAACCACATAATCCGGTCTTCAAGAAAAGGCCATCTACACAGTCCAATTTTGTGTAAATAAAACCATGCACGAGCACAAAAATAGGAAAAACACAAAACCACCCTGTGTATGCCCGTCGGCTTCAATACAGTCTTATCTCCGGTACGATATGATACCTGCCAACTGACCTAAATGAGCAGCTACACCATGATGTTGCACTACTTCGAGACTATGACAATTCTTTGGCCGTGTTAGTAGTCAAGTATTCATTGCTTGAACTAAGAGACTGTTTGTGCGAACTCGTTGGTACGGATCTATTAGAAAACACAGCGCTTGCAAAAGACAAAACACATCATACAAGAAGAGGTCAGCGCACGTACTCGTTCTCGTTTACACCGTGTTCTTTTCTCTCGGGTTTTATGTTCCGTAAGCGCATTGTTTACAATGAAGCCATCGCTTCATTATTGTGATAATAGGGGCTCGTTGTAAATTAAGAGATGACCTTGTGATGTCCTTCTCTTGTTTGACGTTATGGTGTGACCTAAGAAGTGGTAGTACTCCTTACGCTACCAGCAGCAGCTCATGGTGGCTCTTGATCATGACCTAATCCGTGATATCATGACTTTGGGCCCCTTTACCCTGGGTCAACGCCTAAATAAAGGGCTTATAGTTCCCTTTTTCGCACGCGTATCGGGTGATGGCTAAAAGCATGGATATCAAATTCTCGGAGACGCTGCCTACGGTGAGTGGAACGTCCCTATTCTATATTTTAATCGCGCTTTTCAGTTATATTTTTTTCCTCCAAGCTTAGGCTAGGGCATCTTCACCAAATCTAACATTTTTTTCCGAGACAAAACTAATGCTGCTTCTAATCTTCACGACACGCTTTTGTCAAGACCATGATATTGGAAATATTCAGCAAATTATAAATTAATTTACAACCTGAATAAAATTGGAACAACGAGACTAAAGTTTAATCGGATAGTACTGCCTAGTTGAAAGAGGTGAAAGGGCCAAAGAGCAGGCGTTTACCGAAAGCAAAAAGTTACCACGCCACAACAGCCATACATACCACATCGTTGACTGACCATACCACGTACACAAACTCCTCGTAGCTATCGGACAATAACAGCTACAATTCGGACGCATTTGCAGGCCAACTAAAATCTTCACTCCTCGTTGATTAAGCAGAACGCGTGATCTGCTTGCTTAGTTTTGCACAGTACCGTGAGATAGCGCCACCCCTCCATTCTGCTGAAGTTTGTGGCTGCCATGTTTGGATAAAATGGTAACACAGTATGCGGACAAAATAACGCATATTTAATATTTTAAGGGGGGGTGGAGAAAAGGTAAGAGTCTATATCTTTGTGGATAGTGGCCTTTGACATCGCACTAACGGGATAGATTACACTCAATGTGCGCCACGTACAGGCCTCCTTCTGCACGATCATTTTGTCCCGTTGGACCCGGTATACTCTAGGAAAAGTATTTCCGTAAGATAATGTTAGTACATGTGTGCTCTTCAGCCGGCATGGTTTTCCGGTACTTAACCTGCGGTAAACCGGCACTGCTATAGCTAAAACCCTCTGATATACAAGGGAAGGGTATGATCGTTAGCTGCGAGCGCTAGTCGACTGCCATTGTAATTTCACGGGGAATCTTTTGCACCCCACGATACACCACCAAATCTCACTCATCAGAGGCCCACTCACGGAGAAGTAAATGTGCCACGACCAACGAACGAAGCAATGGCCAAACACAGGCGGCCGTGACCTTGAGTACAGCATATGCTACAGTGCTACTTTTGTTCTGTCACTTCCGTGACTCTGTCACCAGTTACGTCAAAGGAATAATATCGCCAATTGTGGTATGCAAGGCGGGTTATTAGAAGCAGGCATTCAAGTGCACTTGTACATAATCCGCGCGTCTCTCGAGCTTGTAATTTGAAATAAAAGCGGAAGTGTACAGACAAGCATACCCAGTCAATGGCCTATTACCCAAGGATTCCTAGGTTGTGCTCCACGAATTTTCTGACGCACAACCTTCCTAACAAATTTTGAAATGCACTTTATTTGCTTATTATCTCTTTGTTATCTACTTGGAATCTCCGCACGCAAACCTCGCTGTCTTATTGGCTTTGATGATAGAATCATTACCTTTCAACTTCGTTGTGAATTAGGAAACTTCGTTTTTGTCTCTTCGTTGTCGTCTAATCAAAGTGCTTATGCATTAACACTTTTTTCATTTTTAAAATGTCAATGAATTCGTGCTAAGGGGTAATAATTTTGCTCTTTGCGAGGCTGTTTAGTAACACCAGTCATGACATTGTAGACTAGTACTGTTGAGAAATCTGGGCGGCGCTCATTGGTACTGGTGAAAAAGTCCTATTGATGGCAGAAGTGAATGCAAAAAGAGGCAGGTCCGACAAAGAACTCTGTGGGAAGTGGACCTGGTTGAAGAAGGACGGCATAAAAATGCTCAGTGCTGACAAGAAGCAAGTTTTCATTTCTTTGAATCGTTCTAGTGTAGCTTGAGGAAACACCGATTTGTCTTGACGTTATGAATTGATTGATTGCTTCCCAGACATTATAGCTGTCAGCATTATTACCCGTTATTTTCACCACAGGATACAAATGGTGTAAAATGAGGACCAGAAATTATGTCATGCAGATATAGCGTAAGCTGGGAAGGCTCACGGAACGCCTAAAAAAGTATTTATTAAAGCGAATGTCTCTATTACCCCCTAATTTGAATATTTCGATGATTTGTGAGAGGGTTATTGCATACAAATATCACTAATTTTTGGTATAATTAAACTGTACCACTTTCACAAATGTGGTGCACAAAAGATATACAATATATTATTTGTCTAAAACGCAAGCATGCCAATGAAGGAACCAATGTTCATTTTCAGTCTACGATAATGGTTTGATTGATGTGGGGTTTGTCTATGATAATCCTCAAGCACAAGCTATGACATTTATGTCGTTTTCTACTGCTATTTCTGGCGATACACGTGCTTCCTTCTTTTCATGAGAACTTAGGAACAATGTAGTGATTGACAGCTACCTTTCTGAGCGCACGTAATCACGCAGGCCAAACCTGATGACGCGCTGGACTTCAACCGACTACAGAACGATTTCGTGGCTTCGATGGTCAACCAACGTCCGGACCGGTTCGTCGGTCTGTGCTCCTTGCCGATGCAGAGCCCCCAGTTGTCGTGCGAAGAGCTGAAGCGCTGCGTCACCCAACTGGGCATGCGTGGCGTCATTATTGGCTCACACGTTAACGATTGGACGCTGGCAGACCGAGCACTGGACCCCTTTTACAAGGTGGGCGACTGTCGCAACATTGTGTGGTTTAAAAAAGCCCGAACTTCACGCCTCGCTGACACTGAGTCAAACGGGCCCTGTGTGTTTATGCCAATGCAGTAGGTAAAGGTTTGGCAGTCACGGCAATGCCACGTACAAACTTATCAGGCCGGCTCACTGCCGCCGTGGCGTCACTCGTTTTTTTTTCGAGCAAGCCTGCGTACGGGAGTCTGAATTCTTTGCCACAATCGTCTCCCGTTAAAAGATAAAGCGTTCGCGGCAAGTTTTACATGCTTACCAGCTTTATTCTGCCTTTTGGGTAAAAAAAACTCACTGGTGTAGGTACATTATTGTGCTTTAATGCACTTGGAGACTCAATTGAGAGCCATTTCTTCCACGAAAAAGCCAGAGATGAACGCTATCGAACGTGTAGTCGAACTATAAGAGCAAAATTTGATGGACCAACAAATTAACGAAATGAATACAGTAAATATTATTCATTATTTTCATTACTTACACACGCACGCACGCAAAGAGCATGCATGGAAACTGTTTCCAAGTCATTTGCAATGTTTCTGCAGTTTCGTTTGTACTCTTTCCAACGTCTATCCTCATAGGCACGTAGTTATTGAGGAAAGTGTGTGCTGTTGCCACAAGTTTTACACCTGGGTTCTTAAACGTGCACCCAAATCTGAGCACACGGGACTACAACATTTCTGCCTCCATCGGAAATGCAGCCGCCGCAGTCGGGATTAGAACCCGCGACCTGCGAGTCAGCAGCCGAGTACCTTAGCCACTACACCACCACAGCGGGGCTTGTGGGCGGTTGTCACAAGTATCGTATTCAGGACAATATAATGGCGATCACCATTGGACGAGAAAACCAAATCTTCCGCTTCACAAAATATTTTGGGACCGACTCAAGAAGTGGTGTTTCTCTCTTGCTTTGGGCCCTTTCGCAGTGTTGCGTAGTCTATCTATCTATCTGTCTATCTATCTATCTATCTATCTATCTATCTATCTATCTATCTATCTATCTATCTATCTATCTATCTATCTATCTAGCCACCCATAGAGTTTCCTAAACATACACTTGAAGGAACTCTGGTGCTAGTGTCTATGAGAGCTGCAACGCATGGCGCTTCAGCGAGAATGGAAACAATAGGTAGTACACAGATTTGCCTAGCCTTCGTACTTTACCTACAAAACAACAATCCACAAATATTCGCCAGTTGCGCTTCACCACCTTATTATTTTAGGCTTACCATTTAAAACTGGGTCACGATATTCAAAAGGCTTTGTTCGTTCCTTTTTTTGAAGCAAAAATCAAACCAGCAATAAACGAAGCCACAAGTGCGATTCGCCGCCTGTAAGTACGAAGACTAGGCAAATGTGTGTACTACCCGTCATTCTCATGGTCGCTGAACGATCGCAGCGCCTGAGTCCCCTCTAGGTAATTTTAGGAAACATTATGTGGCCACCCACATCTGGGTGTTCTCCAGATCACCTCCTCAACTTAGGGCTAACCAAAATTTGTATTCGAGGGTAAGACGATTTCACGACCATGGCTCGCTCGTCATGACATGAATTGTGTCATAATCCCATCGCATACGTTCTCAAATTCTTTCCGCCAGACACGTGTGGTCCAGACCCGTATACCACGAGTGATTATGTGTCACAGATATTCCAGTACATGCCACAGGTGATTGACACTTCGCATCTACCCAGGAACAGCAGGAACAGCAGGAACAGCGACAACATACATATTTAATTTTAACACCGGAGTGATGAAAAAGCCGGCATCCCCAGAGTTGACCCGACAATTGCAATAAATAAATATCAGTGCCCCAGCAGGAATCGAACCCAAGCATTGTGGGTGGCAATCAAGCATGCTACCACAGAGCCACCCCTGGTCACGGAATTACTTTCCGAATAGATCCCAATGCTCTTGAAACATCAGTTGTGGTTGCATTGCTACCACGTTTTATAAACATCACATATGTACTTCTATGATGCAGCCGTCAGGTCGTGTTAACGTCAATTGTAGTAAGGTGCCATCCACTGAAGCTGATTTATGTATCGGGGTCCAGGGCTACCATCCGCGCTAGCACCAATGCTTCATACAAACTTATCGCTTCTAGTGATTCTAATACTTATGTTTTTGTTGGCATCGTTGCACAAGTGCAAACAGCTGGTTATATAAACATCTGCTACTGCTCAACCTATGTCTGTGCACACAACGTTTGTACACATATTTGGCGTCATTTCATAACGTATCATTCGATAAAAAAATTAAAACACAGTCACCTTCCATCCGCATGCTTCGCATAACATCGATTCCAAGGCATGGGAGACATATTAATAATTTTATGTTTTTTCTTCGCCATTTCTATTCTTGGGTCACAGACAAGGTAATGATTTAACGCTCACAGCAAAGGCCGACGGAGATGCTAAAGCCGAATTCGGAATTTCGCCGATATAAGCTGTTTAACACTTTGGAATAACTAAAACTAAACAGGATGCACGACATAATAATTGGGCTTTTATACAACTATAGTGCCTATGGGGAGAAGAGAGCACTGGAACTTCAAAGTGTGAAGTATTTTCTTGTGTACAAAGCACAACTTTGTGGGTTCATCTATCTATCCTTCTATCTATCTATCTATCTATCTATCTATCTATCTATCTATCTATCTATCTATCTATCTATCTATCTGTCTGTCTGTCTGTCTGCCTACCTGCCTGCCTGCCTGCCAGTCTGTCTGTCTGTCTGTCTGTCTGTCTGTCTGTCTGTCTGTCTGTCTGTCTGTCTGTCTGTCTGTCCGTCTGTCCGTCCGTCCGTCTGTCCGTCCACCTGCCTACGACATTGTGGTCTTGTGGTTGTCTCGTTGACTTCGTATATTCCGAACTTACCTTGGGAGTACAGTAGTGTATCACGATCGCATTTAGTGTGATATCCTATGAATAGCATGACATACGTTTCGCGCACGTTATAAAATCTTCGCTAGCAGAATGTGTTACGATGAGAGGGCAGACGAAGTTCTTTCGTCAGACTTTTCGAAAGCAGCAAGGGCTTCAAGGACTCAGTTTCAATAGAAACATGTGAGAGCTTGGGGCACCCAGTGCTCGTTCGCGATAAGCACTATGTGACCTCTGCCACTCGCACTTCAAAAACTGCAGTAGTAAGACTCTTCAGCCACGCATGACATGAATTTGTCGTATTAGAAGTGGAAACCGTTCATCCGTTCGATTTCGTCAAAGCGCACGGATTGCACCGAACGTGACTGTGGATAGGGCAGTATCGCGATCTCAACTTAGCAATTTGGCCTGGGTTTCCGTTTTAAGAGGCCACGCGTCAAAATATGCATGGTTATTGTTTGTTCCCACGGCACGAGGTTTTGGCACTCATGTGTTTTATTGTGAACGCTTTTTCATTGCAGACAGTTCAAGAACTCGGTGTTGGGCTTTTTGTGCACCCTTGGGACATGCCGCCTTCGAAACGCTACGACAAGTATTGGATGCAGTGGCTCGTCGGTGAGTTAGGTGATCAGAAAATGCTTCGCGAAAAAAAAGGAAAAAAACTATCTTGCAAGACTTGTGTCTGATGACTATCTGTCAGCATTACGAGTCGTTTGATAAGGAATGTGACGGGGTCAAAGTATCTACAAGATTAATTTTATTCGTCAGGGTGCCTTGACGAAAGAAGTCATCTTGTCGAAACGTTAGCTCCGTCGACATTATAATCTAGAGATTATTTATCGCTGCAAGCCGCAATGTTTTTCCGATTTTCTCTCTCATGAATATCTGTGAGCATATGCCTTCCCATGAATATAAATAGCGCGTTGGTATTGTAGCATAAAGTTACTTTTTTGTAAAAGTGCGTAAAACCTTTCTTTACAAGCCAGCAAAAATTACAATGCAAAATGTGCGTTACTCAATAAATCGCACCCGTCAATTTGCAATGCCCTTTAAAGCGTAACGAGGTGTACTTGGTCGTTAGGGGAATATTAAAACGTGTTTTCAGCTGTCGCAGGTCCCGTTAATTAGGGAGGCGATCGTTGGGCTAATTCCAAGGGCCGAAGTATCACCCCTTCCCCCCGAACTGCACCAGAAAACCGCAGACAATTTAAAATTGGTCCTATTTGGCGCGCCAGCGGACGCCGGCTGCAGTCCAAACAACGAGTCATTTCATTTCATTTCCTTTTTTTTATTACCTTCAAAGACCGAAAAATGCTGTCAAAGCCGAAAATTGATAAACAAAACAAAATTTGATTCTCAAGTATGACAGATCAAATGATACACAAACATGTGTACTCGGCAATAGTTCAGTACAATATTTCACCAATCAAACCATCGACTACCCAATACAACCAGCTGCACTCGAAGCAACGGACACAAACAACAAAACACGCTACAATGCAAACACATGCGTCAAACAACCAAGACACTTAAACACTAAAGAGTTCAAAAACTCATTCAGTCCAAAGTCATTGGAACAAAATCTTAATGATACTCTTCCAAGTATCACTCACTCAAAGTGCAGCACTGTTGTCGATCCGCTGCCCCCTAAGTTTCTCTTCAAGGAAACCTCACGTCTTCCTTTGGCCACTCTCCAAGCACCAAACTTCTTCTTCGGTAACACGTTGGCTTCCCACGTGCAGCTGCTGCAACGCGTCTTCTCTCGCTTGCGGTAGACACACTCTTCTGCCTGTAGCACAAGTCTTCACCCCTCAGGTGGAAACCCTCTTCATTACCTGCTTTGTCACTGATGACCAAAGCCTTCGCCAGCATGACGGAATTACCCTACGCGCACTTGCGCAAAACTTTCTTCGTCTCCTGCCTACGTACACTGGCATGAACTGTCTTCATCTCCTGCTTTGTCACTGAGGACAAAAGTCTTCGCCTACATGGCGGAAAGACCCTACGCACACTGGCGCAAACTTCCTTTTTTTCCTATCTATGCACACTGCATAAATTCCCTTCATCTCCTAATTTCCCTTCTTCGCTGCTCGCCTAAATACATTTCATGCTAGATTCCGGAAAATTCTAATCGTTTCATAGAATTGATGCACAGCCAAGGCTGGGGAAAGGGCAAGACGCTTCGAGAGCCGTCTGCGACACGTGACGCAACTCTGCATCACCACGCCCCTTTCCTTCGAGATCTTTCCATGGCTTGCTTGGCGGCCGATGTGAGGAGGTTGGTCGGCGAAAGTATGCTTCCGAAGAAGAGGGGAGATGGCGCACAAGGGGAGTCTTTGGATGCTTGTTTTTTTTTTTTTCTTTAGCGTTGACCTTGAGGCGTCTCTCTTGCGCCCAGCAGCGTCACTGTCGCCAGAACTCGGTGGCGTACCCCCTTCTGAACGCTCGTTTGTGACATCAGCATTGACTTAACTTAATGAGCCATTTAAGCGCCTCACAAATATACAGCCCAATAGGTGCCACTTGACGGCAATGCCTATGTTGTTGGTTTGTTGGTTTCGTTAAGTTCTGCTTAACCGCTTTTTTTTACGTATATATATGTGTCAGGTCTTTTTACGATAGCCTAAGCTTCAGATGCTATATTCCGCAATTAAGGTGAGTACTTACGAGTACACCATATGACGCATGCACAGTGGCGACAACTTCTAATGCCGAGTGTTGCATACTTGATCGTAAAACTTCTTATTTGGTTTCAACTTACATGACGAAGACAATGCTGCTTATATGACGCTGAGAATGTTGTCTACAGGCATTTTGAAGAATTCAGTTTGGACTACTTCCTAGAGAATACAAGTGTAGTTCAGAGGTGCGAAAATTGTGTTGAAATGACCAAACATTATGTCGTCAAATATAATTTTGCATCGTCTTTAAGAGTTGGCGAGACCGATAACTTGTGGCAAAACTTGTAAAATACAATTTTATAAAAATCTGTCATAGTCATGTTCTAGATGTTTTCAGATGCTAACTCTCTGTCAAGGTGGAAACACCTTGCTACAACTAAAATGACACTTACAACGTTAATTACCAAAACTTGTTGATTAACTTCCTAATTTTGTATTAAGGGCTGTTGTTTACACGTTTGTAGCGGGCACCAATTATTTGAAATGAAAATTATACTCAAAATAGCAATAGTTGCGGGAATCAAGATAATCGAGATAATCATCGAACTTTAGGCGCAAAATCGCAATTGATCGCGCACTGCGCGCAGAAACGTGACCGCCTGCTTACGCCAGACCAAAACGACATGGGACCAAGGAGTGAAAAAATTCGATCAAGGCTCGCTGAAGATTGGTCATAAAAATCAGTAAGCATTCTGAAATACGCCCGCTTATTCTTTGGGCCCGACGTGTGGCGCTTATCTGTTTCTTAACCTGTAAACATGAGATAAAACTATAAGCGCTGTAGTACAATGCTATCTCACTTTATTGTGAGCATAAACAAATGACTTTCAAATATTGCGCTCTTCTCACGTGGTTCAAGATTATACCACTGCATAATTGGACCCCATGCTCTGTTGTTTGAGCATCCAGGACGGGACAGAGAAGAAGACACAGACCACATACATGGTGCTAACATTCAACGGTGCGGTTTAATCCGAGAAACAGCAATACTTATACCAAAACATGGCGTGTCACAACCACGTGCTAGAACCGGAAAATTGTGATGTACTGCAACTCATGCGACATCCAAATAATGCAATTCTTTCAAAGATAATGATACCGATTGCTTGCTTATACAGGCGTCGCCAAACGTAGCAATGAATTTCGCTTCTATATCGAGCCTTATCATTTGGCTAGTGCTTCTTCCGATTATGCTGGTGCGATTAAAGAGGAGTTGGCACCCGCATTCTTTGCAGTCAATTGCAAGAAAACCCTCAGGCTGTGCCATGGCCACGTTATTCTTGTGTTCGTTCAGCCTATCATTGATTCATCTACTGGTGTCACAGGTCCCATTAATTCGGGAAGTGATCGCCGGGCTAATTCCAAGGGCCGAAGTATCGGCCCCCCGAACCGCACCACGAAAGCATGGAGAATTTAGAAGTGGTCCTATTTGGCGCGCCAGCGGACGCCGGCTGTGGCCCAAAAAACAAGTCAGAGCCGAGAGTTGATAAGCAAAACAAAATTATATTCTCAATTATGGTAGATCAAAACGATACACAAGTATGCACACTCGACAATAGTTGAATACAATATGTCACCAATCAAACAACGTACTACGCAGTACAATCAGCCACACTCGAAACAACGGACACAGACAATAATACGCACTACAATGCAGTCACATGCATTGAACAACCAAAACACTTAAAGACTAAAGAGTTAGAAAACTTATTCAGTCCAAAGTTCTTGAAATAAAAGTCTGGATGATACTCTTCCGAGAATTTATCACTCAAAGTCCAGCGTTGTTATCGTTCCGCTGCCCCCGAAGTTTCTCTTCCAGGAAACCTCGCGTCTTCAATTGGCCGCTCTCCAAGCTCCGAACGTCTTCGCCGGAAACACGTCGGCTTCACACACGTAGCTGTTGCCACGCGTCTTCACTCGATAGCGGTAGACACACACTCTTGCCTGTAGCTCGACTCTACACCCCTCAGGTGGAAATCCTCTTCTCCTCCTTTGTCACAGAAGACAAAAGGCTTCACCTACAAGGCGGAATACCCTACGCACTCTGGCGCAATATTTCTTCGTCTCTTCCTTTGTCACTGAGGACAAAACCTTCGCCGATGACACGGCGGAACACCATACGCATTCTGGTGCATAGTTTCTTCTTCTCCTGCTTTGGCACTACGGACAAAATCTTCACCGACAGACGCGGCGGAATGACCCTACGCACACTGGCGCTAACTTCCTTTTTCTCCTGATCTCCCATCTCTGCTGCTCGGTTCAATACCTTCCGCGCGAGATTCAAGAAAATTCTCATCATTTCGTCGGCGCAATACGCAGCGAAGGCTGGGGAAAGCGCGAGATGGTACGAGGGCCGTCCGTGACAGATGACGCAACCCTGCATCACCTCGCCCCTTTCCATCGAGAACTTTCCAGGGCTACTCGGCCGCTGATGTGAGGAGGTTCGTCAGCGAACCTACACTTCCGAGGGTGGAGGGACGCGCGCCCGGGGAGTCTTTGGTTGTTTGTTTTCTTTTTTTATCGTTCACTTCGAGGCGTCTCTCCGGTGCTTCATCGCGAGAATTTGGCGGCGTGCCCTTTTTGAGCGCTCGTTTTGTGCACTGCCCCCGACTTTAAGAATATTATCTCATAATATTCAAAACCACACAAACGAGCACGAACAGTCCCCACACTCTAAAAGACTGTAACCTAGTCAGTCACTCATGCCACGTCACACCCACAATAGATCACTCAACACAATTGTACATTGCAATTCAATCTCACAACACATAGAATATAGCCACGGGTACATAAATACAATACTCCATCACATACTTCAAGCAATACAAATGTACAAAGGTCTGTCTTTACAACAATTGTACCATACTATACATCACATCACCGTAACAAAAATTTTGATTCACTCGACATACGTTGTACACAGAAAAACCACGTTAACTTAACATATTGCATTCAGCACTGTCAAACACATTTCGATTCGACCTCAACAACTATCCCGTGTACTTCGAGCTGCGTTTGCGTCCTTTCTTGCGGTGCTCGCTCGATCTCTTCTTGTTTTTTCTCGTTTTCTTCCGGCGAGCCTTTCTAACGACGGTATCTGAGGCGGCGTCTCAGCCATCGTTGTCACTTCCGACATTGCTAACGGGTCATAACGCTCAACCGAACCTGTCCGGTTATTCACCCGCTTGTTCATGTCCCAACATTGGGCCTGGCTGGCTGACTCCGTCATCTTTACACTGTCAGTCGATTGAGGTCGTGCCGACGTAAGTCCAGGTGCCCAGCACGTAAACTCCTTCAATACGATCATGTTCTCATTCACTGTCTCTTGCGCTCAGGCTTCACCTTGGGCTCGAGTGTAATCCTTAACGGGATTGTTCTCCGCTGTATCTCGCAGTGCCTGTGTCGGCGGAGGCTCCATCTTCGGGTCTTCCCCCAAACATTCTGGATCATTCGGCCCTCGCGCCCCGTCGATGTTTCCGATGACGAGGTCGTACAGCGGGGTCGTCATGCATAGAGCAGTAACCTTCCCGCTGAAGTACGGGGTTTCAACCTCAATTTCTGCTTCGGGAAGCATCCGAACCGTACTGTCAATTAGGCAAACCGGTTTCGTTTTGCCTGTCAACTCGCTTTCCCGTACCAAATTTCTCCGCACGATGACCGTGCAGCTACCGGTGTCTCTTAACACCGTAATTTTCTTGCCCAAAACTTTTCCAGGCACCGTTGGCATTCCCTTCATAACACTGGTAGGCTGTTTTGACAATACAGCACCCACAATAGGAAGTTTTTTCCCATTTTTCAACTCTACGAATCCGTCGGTGACGACATCACCATCGGATTTCGGTGCTGCTAGCACACAGGATACCTGGTGAGTTTGACTCGCTCCGTTACGACATGCGTCTGCTTTGTGCCCAGTCTGACCACACTTGAAACATTTTACAACCGTAGGGCTCGTAAAGATCGTTCGACAGCTGTTCGCGCGATGACCCACACGGTTACACAGAAAACATCGCGGAACACTCTCCGGTGCACGCTTTTTTGTTCGGGTGCCGAATTTTTCGAATCTTTGGGACACTTCTTCTTGACCTTGGCCAAATTAGTTCCACCTTGCGCTTCCAAGAATTGGTCGACCAATTCAAGCATGCCTTCAAGTGACTTAGCCTTCTTCTCTTTCAAGTACAGCGACAGGCTTGGGTGGCAACTGGTAAGAAATTGCTCTCTAATGGGGAGCTCTTTAAGCTCATCGTACTCCTGCGCTGTCTGAAAGTTCAATCCTTCTGTCAAAATAATGGCAAAGTCGGGCGGCATACTGCGTAGCCGTCTCACCATTAGCTGGCTTTCGTGTCCGAAATCTGTCCCGGAAACCTTCCACAGTAAATCTAAATCGCTTCAGTAAAGCAGCTTTCACCTTTGCATAGTTGGCTGCATAGGGAGGCGTCAGCCTACCGTACACACTGAGCGCTTCGCCACTCAAGCAAGTACTCAAAGCCGTTGCCCATTGATGTTCCGGCCAATTCTGGCTTCTCGCAATCGTCTCAAATCTGTGAAGGTACGTGTCGAGGTCGTCCTTCCTTTCATCAAACGCTACGAGCAGCTTGCTTTGGTTCAAGCGGAAGCCGTGGTCCTCCCGTTCACTGCTTTCAACTCTAGCTTGGACCGGAGTTTCACTTCACTGTTGCAAACAGAGCCGCTGGAGTTCCGTCTCGTGCTGTCGCTGCCGTTCCCTTTGCTCTCTTCTTTCGCCCATTCGGCTGCCAGTCTTTCTCTCTCCAGCTCAAACTTTAATTGCTGCTCTCTTTCTTCTCTCGCCCTTTCGGCTGCCAACTTTTCTCTCTCCAGCTCCAACTTCAAATGCTACTCTCTTCTTTCGCTCTCTCAGCTGCCAACCTCTCTCTCTCCAACTCAGCTGCTTTTTCTTCCTTGGCCATCTCAGCTGCCAACCTCTCTCTCTCCACTGCCTCTTTCTCCTTCTGGCTTACCCACTTCCGTAGTTCGGTGCCAGAAAGACCCATCTTCTCACCAAGAGCTACTAACTTTTCGAGATCCATTGTGTCTCGCAAATAAAGTCTTGCCGCATGTAAAAAGTATCTGCCTAAACATGTCTGTCGGAACACTCCCCTGCACTCGTTACCGAGAACACTGAACAACACACAAAATCGTTCCGATAGCACTATCAACAACTCGAGGCTCTTTCTCACTACTTTGGACACACTGTGCACCAAAAGGTCCTGTCGCAGACGCCAGATTAATTGTCACAGGTCCCGTTAATTCGGGAGGCGATCACCAGGCTAATTCCAAGGGCCGAAGTATCGGCCCCTCGAACCGCACCACGAAAGCATGGACAATTTAGAAGTGGTCGTATTTGGCGTGCCAGAGGACGCCGGCTGTGGCCCAAATAACAAGTCAGAGCCGAGAGTTGATAAACAAAACAAAATTATATTCTCAATTATGGCAGATCAAAACGATACACAAGTATGCACACTCGACAATAGTTGAATACAATATGTCACCAATCACACAATGTACTACGCAGTACAATCAGCCACACTCGAAACAATGGACACAGGCAACAATATGCACTACAATGCAGTCGCATGCATCAAACAACCAAGACGCTTAAAGACTAAACAGTTAGAAAACTTATTCAGTCCAAAGTTCTTGGAACAAAAGTCTGGATGATACTGTTCCGAGAATCACTCACTCAAAGTCCAGCGTTGTTGTCGTTCCGCTGCCCCCGAAGTTTCTCTTCCAGGAAACCTCGCGTCTTCAATTGGCCACTCTCCAAGCTCCAAACTTCTTCGCCGGAAACACGTCGGCTTCACACACGCAGCTGTTGCCACGCGTCTTCGCTCGATAGCGGTAGACACACTTTCTTGCCTGTAGCTCGAGTCTTCACTCCTCAGGTGGAAATCCTCTTCTTCTCCTCCTTTGTCACGGAAGACAAAAGGCTTCGCCCACAAGGCGGAACACCCTACGCACTCTGGCGCAGTATTTCTTCTTCTCCTTCTTTGTCACTGAGGAAAAAACCTTCGCCGACGACACGGCGGAACACCCTACGCACTCTGGCACATACTTTCTTCTTCTCCTGCTTTGTCACTAAGGACAAAACCTTCACCGACAGACGCGGCGGAATGACCCTACGCACACTGGCGCTAACTTCCTTCTTCTCCTGATCCCCCATCTCTGCTGCTCGGTTAAATACCTTCCGCATGAGATTCCAGAAAATTCTCATCATTTCGTCGGCGCGATACGCAGCGAAGGCTGGGGAAAGCCCGAGACAGTACGAGGGCCGTCCGCGACAGATGACGCAACCCTGCATCACTACGCCCCTTTTCATCGAGAACTTTCCAGGGCTTGCTCGGCTGCCGATGGGAGGAGGTTCGTCGGTGAACTTACGCTTCCGAGGGGAGAGGGACGCGCGCCCGGGGAGTCTTTGGATGTTTGTTTTCTTTTTTTATCGTTGACTTCGAGACGTCTCTCCGGTGCATCGTCGCGAGAATTTGGCGGCGCGCCCTTTTTGAGCGCTCGTTTTGTGACAACTGGTTTGGCCTATATAGCATGCATTACACGTTAATGGGATCCAGTAGATGACTCCTGTGATGCACGCGACAAACCTAATACGGTGATTCTTTTCGCACAGACCTTTATATGGGCGCTCCGGATTCATCTTTTGGCAAAGACGCTTTAGCTTGATGGGTGCCCGAGAAAACTGCTTGAATGTTACAATGTTCTGCTAATTTCTTCAGGATATCTGGAACACCGTGAATTAATGGGATTACAGCCATTAAGCCCGCCGTGCAACCTTAGTCGCCTATGCTCTGCTTTCTGCGAATGACAGAGGGGCGTTGTGACGTCGAGAATTTCGCAGATGGGTCTGTAGTGGCCCGTTCACTGTAAGGCGCCTCTGAACGAACGTCCATATGCGGCCCTTGGGACACTTACTGTTCTGTCGTATTATTGCAATATATATATATATATATATATATATATATATATGCGATAAACTGTAATAATGCAGAAAAAACTCCGGTGTGTGGAATCCAATTTGGAGCCTCTGCATCTTGGGGGGAAGGCGGAACCATCATGTTTTCGGCATTATCAGTAAGATGGGGCAATGAGCACACGTCACAGCGTTGTCCCGATGCGACGGAGCTCCCACGCGCACTTTGCCCTGCGGAGAGCAGGGGGTCGACGCTCACTCGCACGCCCTTTCCTTATGGTGGGGAAGATCATATATATGGGCTGGCCTTCGGCTTTCGCTGGAACGATTCTGTTGTAGTTACTTCGCGGGAAAAGGTCACTGCAATTGTTGAACAGTCTTCGTTTTCAAAAAGAGCAGGCTTTTCAGTGACAGTGAAGTAACAACTGAGACGCTTATTCACGTTCATCTGTACCTGAGAGTACGTTTCGTGCGTCATTTATGCCTGAAAACGTGGGGCACATTTTCATCTGCTGGTCATTCAGTGCGTGACCTTCAAATTTGTTGCTATCTAGTTCACTGCGTCACCTTTGCGGGAAAGCTGTGACTTTTTTTGTAACTGCGACAATTCTTAGAATAAGCGGCTGTGAATTCTTGGATTTGTCACTCATAAAGATGGTGCTGCTGCATTCAACAGCGAGTAACATTCGGACTTTGTGCTCCTGTTCCAGGTATGCCCGCTGAGACTACAGCAGCCATCTGCGAAGTCATGTTCGGTGGACTTCTCGAGAGGTTCCCTAGGCTGAAGCTTTGCTTCGCCCATGGTGGTGGCTCGTTACCTTACACTGTGGGGAGGATACAACATGGTTTCGATGTGAGTACCCCACGTTACGCTTAACATCACATACTTGAACCAATCAATCTTGCCTTATTAGCTTAGTGATTTTGACCAATTGATAAACAGAAACAGTGAGAAATGGCTCATAGAGAACGTGTGCAGGTTAGCTACTGCAAACACCTGATTCATCAGCTTTGCTGGCCTACAAGAAAATTTTAGATGGCAAACGAGAGCTTCCCTGTAAGGTCTCTGCCCACACGTCATCGAGCCTGTCATTTTGCTGTACAATCAGCACCAGAAAAATTGTACTTCATGAGAGTCTCTATATCTACAAAGGCAATCTGAAAGCACATATATTTACAACGATACGCTGTGTCTTGACTTCATGTGAATACAGCCTATGTACTGCACTCAAAGCTCGTCGCATGTAAGTATAAAATATTATCCGTAGTTGTATCTAACCTTAGATGACGAAGCGTATAAAATATTACCAGTAGTTGTATCTAGCCTTAGAAGACGAAGCCATTTTTCTCAAGTAGTCCTTGACGCAAAGCGTTCCTTGGCCCCACCACGGTGGTCTATAGTGGCTAAGGTACTCGGCTGCTCACCCACAGGTCGCGGGGTCGAATTTCGGCTGCAGCGGCCACATTTTATATAGAGGCAAACATGCTGTTGGCCCATGTGCTCAGATTTGTGTGCGGGCTAAAGAACTCCAGGTGGTCAAAATTTCCGTAGCCCACCACTACGGCGTCTCTCATAAATCACATAGTGGTTTTAGAGCGTTAAACCCCACATAACATTCAGTCAAATCAATGAAGCGTCCTGCAGTGTCGTTTCACTTCCACATGGAGAACAAATAGGTGAAAACCCAGGCTAGCTATGTGTAAATCAAAGTTAAATGCTGGCACGTTACAGCTACGTCTTGTCTGTCACCTTCGTGACTCGTGTTGCCTTTTTTCCTATCATTTTCAAGAGAATGTATATCAGAAATGTTCAAGACCAATGGTTCAGAAAACTGCACTGCTTCTTAATCGTATTCACAACGGTGTGTTGTGTCAATTTGCCGAATCTATCATTTGTTAAAGTAATAACTTCTATGTTTCGCTTCATGTTATCTCCTTTTTTACTTGCTCACTTACTCATTTAGTGCAACAAATTTATGTATAAGTGGTTCTTAATTCATGTGTTTCTTAGTGTAATTTTGACGTTGGTATATATAGCGTCTATAGCAAGTCTCTGTCAACACCGGCTGTTTAGGCGATTGTAAGAGCATGCTGCTTGTCTTTTTTAATCTCCTCTCCAAGGTGCGACCCGACCTTTGTGCGGTCGACAACAAAATTCCACCGAAAAGCTACCTGGGCGACATCTACGCCGACTCGCTGGTGCATAGTCACGGATCTCTGAGACTTCTACTTGATGTACTCGGAGAGGTAAACATATTCCTTTATGTTCTGTGGGCTTGTTTTTCCTTTTTAGATTTTAGTTCTTCAATATCGACATATCTTAAAACAATATCTGAAACCCAAAAGACCTCTACCGGGGTACGTCACCACGTGACGTCACCGTTGCACGTGCAAGGTGGTGGTTGGCAAAACACTCCCGCTTGTGGCGTGTGGGGTGCAGTCGCTTGGTGCTTGGGGCATGTTTTTGTATCGTTTTGAAAGCTTAATCTTCATCTCACAATGGCAACATTAGCTGTGGTATATGTCAGAGAACATTTAGGCGTGTGGTAAAGTGCATGACGAACTATGTGCCAGGCTGGCTGGCTGTTTATCTCGGAGAAGTCAACACAGATGGCGGCCTGTGCGAGGAACAGCGGCATCGTCTTCGAAAATAGTGTGGGTTGAAAGGCATCGACAATATTGGTTCACCTTTACGGATGGTGACACTAAGAATATTGTGCGTGGTGTGTGCAGTGTGAATAACGCTATGCATGCTGTTTGCGAAAACATTGGTATTCGTTGTGGGCCGGCTTCAGTAACCGGTTGTCGATGGAACTTCATGATTGGACATTGTAGAAAAGGTAAAAATACTTTTGACGCGATCATCTGCGAGTGGCTACATCTCAGCGATTGCGCGTTGTGCAAAAAAATAGAAGTGCATGATCTCCAGGTGATATATACGAATGCGCATGTGCCATAAGCATGTTGTAGCGTTGCCGAATCTGCATATATGCTTCACCTTAGCTGTAACTCGCATTTTCGAATACCTGATACGTATTAATGGAAAATGCGGAGATTTTCGTTTTTTATCCACTTTACACTTTCACGGCTTGATTCTTATGAAGTGACTATGCGCATCAGAAGTTTATGTATCAAACCTAAAGGAGCAATATAGGCACGAAAACACGTTATAAGTGTCAAATGCAGCAAGATAACATGTGCCAGATAATATTATATGTCATTAGAACGTCGCGTTTTGCATCACATGATTTTTCACAGGGTTATTGAAAAACGCAGAGGCAGAATTTCACTTTAATTTTCACGAGGAAATGTTAACCTCAGCCTATCGCACGACGAGAAATGTTCCTTTTTTTTCATTTATCTCCGATCAGACTTTTGTTCAATGAGTAAGAATCTCATCCGTGAAGTCGCCCACAGCAGCTCAAAACCATGCTGCTGCCAATGCTGTACCTTGTTTAAAGCTCCATTGCACATGCCTCAATGGAAATTGAATAAATTTACATCATTGCCATGCAAATATTTCTCAAAGTGCCAGTCACCGTGTACATCAAAAACGTTCGCTTTAAGAAAGATCAGATTTTTTTTATGACTGCCAGTTACGTTGGTGAAGCCCACTGCGTGCTAGTCGCGTCTCCCAGCACTCTAAATAAAGTTTCTTCATCCACCCATTCACGACAAGAAAACTTCCACACTATGAGCAGCAATCTTCCCACGACCCCTTCTTTCAAAAGCTGTGACTTTAGAACATAGCAATGTAAAATCGAAAGAATGCGGACACGCAGCTCTGCTATGCAGAAAGATGCCTCCGGCGGAACTTTCTTGCCAACCAGCCGCTGCTACGAGAGATCGTATGGTGGGCGGGGTGCCCGCAGTGACGTCACACTGTTTACAAACAGAGTGAGGTCTATTAAATGACACTAGAAACAGACGCGGTCTGTATCAAAATGAAGCAAAAGGCTTTTTGTGTGTGTGTGAAGTCACGCGGCTATAATGACTCACTTGCGTCTTTGTGTATGACACAGTATGAAATACTTCTAAAGGTAATTTACTTTTCGCGTTGGGTTTACTTTTCTCAAATTTTTGTGTAATGCGTAATATTTTTGTCGATTACACACGTTTATGTATGCAGCAGAAAATACGGGCCACTTGAGAGGGCAGCGCAGTCTAAGTTAGCCTCTTTAAAATACTTATACGCACGTACTTGAGTTAACAATTACAGATCTTTGGTGAGGAGTAATCCTCTTATTGCTTCTCAGCCTTTTGTGGGCATTCATCGCGCCTGATTTAGGGATGGCTTACTGCTCTCCCTTACATGAGTATCGAGTACTCAAAATCGTTCAACGTTTTTTTTCCAAACACAGTAAATCTCTTCGTTTCTTCTGGTTGTTGTTCGCGAGGCCGCTTCGCTTGTCTTTTCAATGTTGCCGGCTTTTTCTGCCTCTGGCGGAACCGCTACGAGGTGGTTGCAGCGGGCCGCCGCCGCCGCGCGCTCTTCCCGATCCTAGAGCGACTGTACTCGGAGCTTCTGTCTGTTTTGTCGGAGGAGCTCTTCTTCCTCAGTGAAGAAAAGTTTCTTTGGCGCTGGTCTTGCCCTTTTGTGCCAGTTGGTGATGAACGAGTGAAACTTGTCTTTCGACTGGTCTGGCATTGGTAGGCCGATATGTCGATGCGCCGGCAAAAACGGTATGCCAACATGTAAGTATATGCAAAATGTACATATTCATGTTTTATTTATGTCTCTTATTTACCTTGAAATATTTTTGTGGCTGTGTTTGTGGGAACCATCTAATGTACATGACCTTTCAACGTCATCTCATATCCATGTTCATGTAAATGACGTCTGTTTTGTCATCATCGTTATTGTATGTCTAAGAAGGTAATGTTCTGTTGAATGTTATTGGCGTTTGTGACAATATTTTTCTAAACAGAGGAATTTCTTCGTCACTGGTCTTGCCCTTTTGTGTCGGTCTATGACGGATCAGTAAAACTTGTCTTACGACTGGCCTAGTATTGGTAGACTGATGTGTCGATGCGACGGCAGAAGCAACAAGTCAACATGTAGATATGCAAAATATACATATTCATGTTTTAATTCTGTCTCTTGTTTACACTGAAATAACAATATGTGTATCTGTTCTTTTGTGACACATTTTCGTGTGGATGTGTTTGTGTGAACCATCTAATCTACATGTTCTTTTCACGTCATTTCATATTCATCTTGATTTAAATGGTCTGTCTTGTCATCATCGTTATTTTTTGTCTAGAAAGAAAATCTTCTGATGAAATATTATTGATATCTGTGACAATAAGGTTTCCTAAACACAATCGTCATACCTTTCTGCATATAATGTAAAGCCCATGAAAACCATCGCTGAGGTCTGCTCTGTGATATACCTGGCCTGGGCGTAATTTTTTCCGATGCGGCCTCATCAAGTGTGAACCCAAAAAGACGGCTTTCAGCTCTCCCATCATAGAGTACCCAGTACTCTAAATCATTACGGCAATTTTTTTAAACACTTCCGCTGTTCTTACGCTGTACGCATCGAATCCTCTAAGTTTTTCTCAATGCGGCCTTATCAAGTGTGAGGTCCACGAGACGGCATTTTTTTCTCCCTTAGTAGAGTACTAAGTACTCAAAATTGTTAACAACATTTTCTAAACTCAAAAAGATCGTGCCGGCCCACCGAGGTCATCTAGTGGTTAAGGTACTCAGATGCTGACCCTTGAGTCACGGGCATGGAGGAAGGAAAAACTAAGGAGAGACCTTATCGTGTCCCAATGCATTGCGAGAAGTGTGGTGGAAGTGAAGTCAAATTTATGGGGCAAACAAACTGGTAAAGGCCAAACAAAACAGACAAAACAGCAGACGCTCCACGGTGTGCTCTCAGCACTGTTTCACTTCTATAGTCCCGGCGTTAACTTAACGCGTATTGTATGGTTTGCATGGAGTAAAATGTTGCGAGCACACCTTTCCCATACTGTTCGTGCGTGTCAGGCCCGAGCGCGGCGTGCTGAAATACTTCATGAAGTTTTTTGTGCAATCGCACAGAAAGCACTGGTACGTGTCCTAATGAAAATCATTCAGCACCTGCATCATCGTATTCGAACTCACCCGGCAGTGACTTACGCGTTCTGCTAGCCGCAAAGCATTTCTCTCTCTCTCTCTCTCTCTCTCTCTCTCTCTCTCTCTCTCTCTCTCTCTCTCTTAGCCATATTTCCTGATCTACGGGCCGATTAGCAGCTCTTTGCTCGTATATAGTGTAAGTGGGGCAATGCATGATTTTGAGAGCTTTCTTCGTCGCTATTCCGCGCAACGCCAGCCTAGTACTTGACGTACTAAGAAGGCACCACTGTATTGTATACGCGATCATGCACGTAAAGTGTGTAATTCCAGTGCGCACACAACTAACACGCACCGAGCGCACACTGTAAAATACATACACATTTAGTGCGATAACTAGAAAAGTGAACGGCTCAACTACTAAAATCGTGACACGATGCCTACAACACTGAAATGATAGTTCGCGCGTGTTCTCAGTTACACAATGAGTAAGAACCAACGGAGCGTACAGCTGACAGCTCCGCATGCAAATGCCATCAACAGTGAAGCGAACGTACGTGAAAAGTGCCACCAGGTACATCCGGTGGTGCACGCAATTCGCACCGAGTATACACTACAGCTGGGCATCGCACAGCTTTTCTAAAAAACACGCAAAAGAAGCAGCACTCGTGGATTGACTGGCTGCCGGCAGAGAACACCGCTTCCAAGGCCGCTGCGGTGGCTGCTCGCCGGAATTCACAGTGTTTATCTGCTTATCTACAAGAAGGTAGTGCGGGTGTTTGCGATGCGGCGGCTTCACGAATATGACGTTATGGCCTCTCTTATATCTTTTCTTCCTCCATGGTCACGGAAGCGAATCTCGGCTGCGGCGGCTGCATTTGCGATGGAGACTGAAATGCTGTAAGCCTGCGTGCTCAGATTTGGGAGCACGTTACAGAACTCTAGATGATCAAAATTTCCGGAGCCCGCCATTACGGCGTCTCTGATAATCATATGGTGGTTTTGGGACGTTAAACCCGACATATCAAACAGGACATGCCCATGCAGACGGCCGAAGTGCGCCAGCTAAACAAATAGTCCCACTCGTGCACTCCGCAATGTTCTGCGAATGTGAAGTTACCGCTCATCCACGGCTCATGACGTCAGTCGAGTGCGCGCCCATTGGTGCACACTTGTGTGCGTTCGC